CAAGGCTGGAGATGCTTAAGGTTCTGCCTGTGCCCACATCAGCTCCCTTGCCCCCCACCCCTCTGCCCACCTGGAGCCCCATCCTACATAAGGAGGTTTGGTAAGCTGTTCCTGGCGGGGAGGGGGTGCTGACCCAGCCTTTAACAGCTCCCCAAAAATTCCTATGTGGCTTGCAACCCTAAATAATTATCTACCCCTGCCTGATAGTTGGCTGTTATTCCATCCACATCTCTGTAATAGACCAGAATTCTTAGCCGCTTTTCTGATTCTGTTAATCAATTCAGTCTGAAGGTCAAGATTCCAGCTATAGTAGAACTCAAGTACAAAAAACTGTCAACAACACCAAGAGATTTATCCTCCAGAATCATGTCAGGTATTTGTTCTTCCACCCCTCAGTACCTGATCACAGTCTTCTTGAGACTAATTGCCATCCCAAAGCTCTTGCATGACTCAGAAAATCTGTCCAAGAAATTTTGCAGGGAACAGTCACTGTGGGCAATCAAGGCCACATCATCCAAAAATAGAAAATCTCCCAGAATGAGTTCTTTCGCTTTGGTTTTTGCTTTAACCTTGAGATGTTGAACAAGCCTCCATCTAGTCGATGTCAAAGGCATTTGATTCTTCCTTTTCATACATTACAGTTGCCTTCATACCTTCATGCAATGAGCAAACTATGTTCAATAGTTTGGGGGAGATGACCAGGTTCTTCAGAACAGTAAAAATGCCCTTTCTGTTGACTGTATCAATGAAGGTTGTGTACAATGGTATTCATTTTTCTCTACACTTCTCTTGCATTTGCGTGACTGAAAATATATCAATGGTGTAGTGTCCTGTGTGAAATCTCTCCTGAAACTCAATGAAGTTTCTTTCACCTAGAGTTTGCAGAATGATAGGAGTGACAATTTTTCTGACATTGTTCAACAGGGAGATATCTCTATACTTGTCACAGTCACTTCCATCCTCTTTGGTTTTATATAATTATAGAAACCGAGCATCTTTGAAATCTTGTGGTACTGCTTCCTTTTTCCAACAGAGCTGTATCACTTCATGAAGATTTCAAAGTAATTTGTTGGCATATTTATAGATTTCAGCAGGCAAATAGTTGTTGCCAGATGCCTTGTTCCCAGGAATCGATTTAATGGCTTTCTGCAAATCTTCTAATGTAGGCTCATTGTCTTAATGCATCATAACTTCAAACTGTGGTAATCCTTCCAGCTCTTTGTGTTTGATTTCAGTCTCATTGGAACATATAATTCCATAGCGTTCAATCCATCACTTAAATCGTTTTTATCAGTAATGACATTTCCATTTCAAGTATTTCAGAAGATCTGTTTTCTTCTTGACTGGACCAATTGCTCATTTAATCCCTTAGTGCATTCCACAATTATTACCTACATCAGCTATGTTTTGAATATCATCACAGAGGTTCAGCCAAACATCTTGGGTTCACCTCTTTTTGCATTTCTCTTTGATCCTTTCTCAGATTTTCTAGGGTTATGGTGTTGGGACATTTCTCATAGATGTTATCAACTGTCCTTTTGTTCTCAACCAGTCATAGAAGAGTTTCAGAGTTCTCTTCAAACCAGTCTGCACTTTTCTTTCATTATTTGCCAAATGCTCTTATAGCAGCATTTTATCTCTTAGTTTTTAAGCTTTCCCAAGCCTTGGTGGCTGTGTTGTTAGGTAAACCTGCTTTCACAACTCCTTCATTGAATAGTCTGAATTTTTTTTTTCTTTATGTTTTTAGTTTTGCTGATGTCTCTCTGAGAGTGACTGGTAGTTTTGGTACAGTGGATCTTTTTTATGTTGATTCTGACTTTGCATCAGACTAAGGCATGGTCAGTGTCACAGGCAGCATTGAGATAAGACCTTGTATACAGGATTTCTTTCAAGTGGTTATGCCTGGTCAGTAGATTGGTGCCCTGATCTTGGATATTTCTATGATGTCTTTCTTGTGATTTTCCCAGTGAAGTAGATATTGGTAACACATAGATTTTGACTTGCACCGAGTTCTAACATTGGCCATTTTCATTCATATTACCAATTCCATGTTTGCCCAGAATACCAGGCCAATTCTTAAAACTATTTCCAGGTCTTCCATTGAAGTCACCAAGTATTATTATGGTCTCATTTTTGTGAGCTTTCTCAATCTCTTCTTCAAGTTGTTGGTAGAAAATATTCTCGTCTTTGCCACTAGCTTGAAGGGTAGGCACCTAGACACTAAACAACATGATGAAGCCTTTCTGTGTATGCACTTTGATTGTCATGCAGGGCTGGATTATGACATACTGGGGCCCTAAGCTATGTCAAGCTTAAGAGGCTCCATAGCATTACCAAAAAAAGTGTATTATTCTAACAGAAAGGACAATAAAAATAGAAATACTAAAGCTTTATATTTGCATATATAAATAGGTGAAGATGCAATGAAAAACTAATAATCTAACTAAAACATATATCTTGCAAGAAATCTATTTGCATTATGAAATACTTTCAAGTTTAAAATACTTTATGATTTCTAGCAATTACACACACTTTCACACACTTTCTGTCTCTCTCTCTCTCTCTCTCTCTCTCACACGCACACTCTCTCTCTCTCTCACACACTCCTGGCCCTAGGGTATCAGCATGCCCCATGCTCCCATAGACTAGCAATGCAGCCACGTGGTGCTGGAGTAGCCCAAAAGCTGCAGCAAGAAGAGACTTCCAGTTCAGGGGGAGGGACGTGGGAAGGAGCTGCGGGGGCGGGGGGGAAGCTTGCACACAGCTGCTGCTGCTGCCTCCATTAAACACCCTGTGCTGCTGCTCTGTATGTGGCTGGTGCTCCAGGACTGGCCACTGCTACACCCCCCGACCCCTCTTCAGCTTCACAACTGGCTGCAGCGCCAGTTTCAAAAAAAGATCATTTTAAAATTTCTGGAACATGCTTGGTCCCAAGCATGCCAGATTTGTGAGGTTTACTGTGTTGCTTTTTTTTGTATTTAGAGGCCCCTCATAATGTGAGGTTCTAAGCTGTAATTTACTTAGCTTGTAGGGCTGTGAAGCTTCAGTCGCTGATTCGATTGGGCGGAGATTCAGCCCAATTAGGTGGCCGAATCGCTGAATCCAAATTGAATCAGAGGACCCTTTAATCTCTCTGAATCAAATCATAACTCTCCTAATTGATTCAGAGAGATTTGGAAAGATTCAGAGATTCAGACATAGACACAGCTTTAAATGTTTTTTCTACATATCTCTAGGTAGCAGGTGACTCGTGAACACCGCAATGCTCAGGCACATGGAGCATCCCACAGGAGTGCAGGAGGCTCCCCAGTGCTCTTGGCAGCAGACCTAGAAGTGGACCAGAAGCACTTCTGGGTCCCCCAGAGAGCATGCTGAGGGGCCCCCTGTGCCCCCCCCAGCTCAGAGACTGGTGCCTCCTGGGTCCAGGGGGACACCCAGGGTCCCCCTGCAGCTGATGGCTGGGCCAGGAAGGACCCTGGGTGGATGAGCATTGCGGTGTTCACGAGTCACCTGCTACCTAGAGATATGTAGAAAAAACATTTAAAGCTGTGTCTTTGTCCGAATCGCTAATTCTCCGAATCAGCATTGAATCTTCACATTCAGATTTGGCTGAATCGAATCAGGGACAGTGATCCGAATCAACGGATCCAATCACTGTCCTTGATTTTGGCTGAATCCAAATCTGAATTGAATAGGGCCTACTTCACACACCCCTATTAGCTTGTGCCTAAATCCAACATTGATGTCGTGAGTCAAATAGATACAGCAGTTGGGCTTTCAGAGAAAGAAAATAAGCTGTTTCTAATAGCAAAGCCTACTCCCTGATCTCTCTTTTCTCCTGTGGGTTTCCCATGCCAGAATATGATATAATCATTCTCTTGGATAGAACCTGTATCTGAGAGCTGAGTTTCTGATAATATAGCAGTGTCAATTCTGAGTCTAATCAATTCATAGTTTAGTAGTGCCATTTCCTGAAAATCAGAGACTGAATTGAACCTGGGGTCAGGGTCCTAACATTCCAGCATGTGAGTCACTTCATCATTTTGGCTAGTATAAATCACACCAAGACCTTCTGTGCATATGCCTAGGCAAGGGTATGGAGGAGTGGAGGCTGCCTTAGACCTATCACCCCCACTTTAAACCATTGAGACAGAATCCAAAGGCCAGGCCAAGTTGAAATGTTCAGTGACTTGATGGTTGTAGCTTCTGCCAAAGAGCAACAGATAAAAGCTGTTTTTGACTGCCTGATGCCTCAGTGAGGCCATGTTTCTATCAGGGTGATGTCCCTCAGCCTTTTTCCAACCAAGGAAATACGCACAAGATAGTGGAGGCTAGGGCTTTGAGGCACCATAAATTCACCTTACTCTGGAGGTTGTAATATTGTGATATTTATAGGAGCTACCCTGCCATGAGTAGCCCCACCGCATTGCCACATTCCTTCCAGTTGGATGCAGTTTATGGTCCTACCCAGGACCAAACTTAATCTAACCTCTCCCTAACCTCACCAAATGTCTGTATGTACCCACTGAATGTATCATTATCACTATAGATCCATTCCTTAAATTAAGACTATAAATTTGGAAACTTTAATGAGAGAAGCGTGCCTCAGAATGTGGTGTACCGGCCTTATTTAATGTTCTGGATCCCAGGTATTCTTCTAACACTTTTTAGGGGTCTGTCCACTGGTACTGAGGGAGCTCTTCAGGAAAGGAAATCTGAGAACTTTTACAATGAACAGCTCAGCCCTAAAATCAGACACTTGTCTATTTCAGTTCCAGCCATGAAAATCAGTACTACATGGATTTTTCTTTTGTTCCTGTCAAGGATATATCTTTGGGCTATTAAATGGGGATTTCCTACACATTTTACATAGCTTAGAAATAGGCATGGATTCCTCATTTGTTTTGACCCAAGATGACAAACCACTTGATTGGTTTCATCACGAGTTCATGCTCTGAAAGACTTCTAATCCATTTCCAATGTCAATTGGCTAGGCTTACCTGAGTCCCAACAACCAAGGTCGATTTTCCTGGAGAAGCATGTTAAATGTGTAATCCTTAATGCTTACTTGAAAATCAGACATCAGTCCACTATTTATTTATTTATTTTTTGTTTCTGAGTCTCTGAAAAGGTCTGATGTGTTGTCTCTGATAACGACACAATGGAAAACATGATATAATGGAAAAGAAAATATACAGAGTAATATCTCCTTACAGAATGTTGATTTGTCTGGAAAATTGCCAGCTTTTCAACCCTCCATCCCACTACAAAATGATCCAAAGCAGCAATATAGGTATACATTCCCTATTGTCCAATGACAAAAGCCTAGTTTTGTGTCATGTGGAAGATCTGAGTTTGGCACCTTACCCCAGGACACTAAATTTTGCAGATTCCCCATGTATTGATCACCTCATAAACTAGTGGAATCAACTGCCTCTAATGAAAGAAGCTTTCATTATTCTGTCACTGCAGTGAAATGCCTAGACCCAGACCAAGCAGGACCCTAAAGCACATACTTAACTGTGAAGGGAATTGGATTATTCATTTGCTAAAAATTGTGTGTGGTATTAAATGTTTTGCTGGATTGGGGCCAAAGTAAGTACAATTTGTCTATAATATGCTTTGAGCATAGCATATGCATACATATATAAAACAACACAGATTTTAAACTGTATTTGTCCCAGTTTTCTTAATAATTGTTTTACACCTAAGTAACCTACTATTACATACTCAATGAGCTTTTAGGCTTTCCAGGTTATACACATTTTTATATAAAGAAATAACTAACTTGTGAAACTTCTTGCCAGGAGATTTTATTGAGGTATAATTTTTTAGAATAATTAAAAAGATGAGCAGATTTGAAATAACAAAAACATTCCAGTTATATTAGATAGGATTAAAAATGTTATACGGAATATATATCTTGCACCTTCTGGGCAAATAAAGACTATATACATAGCCGTATCAACATTTTTTTATTTTAACTAGTTAGATGACACGATGATTGGATGAAGTTAGAAGAATTAGAGATTCACTATAGTATACTTCCCTTCATAGTGCATAGAAAAAAAGGTCTGGAGGTCTAAAAAAAAGCACCATGGTATTTTGGCTGAAACAAGACTACAACTATGTATCTTAGGAGCCTTCATTTTCTCCTCAAATGCAGCATTTTTATTGAAAATTATAGTGTGTTCATTTTTCCTCTGTAGTTTCAATTGGATATTGCCTTGTCTGCTTTGGGTGAGGTGGCAGGGACTGGTATACTTCTGATTCTATCAACAGAAAGACTGCTGTTTTATATCCTAGAAGTTTTTACTTGTCTATTTATGTCAGCTGATCTCTGTACCTTTAAACCAAAGCTATTTATCATTTTATTCTTCTGTAGTAAGTATTTATTTAGAGACATCTTGTGTTGAGAATCAAAAATCAGCTGCTGAATATATATATATATATATATGTAGTAATGCATTTTTGGACACTTAGAGATAAAAGAAACCAAATGTATTTCAAAATTCTCTACTCCCAGAATGTAATGTAATTTGCATAATGTACTGCACAGCTCTTACCAAACTGATTATTAATTATAAAATCTTAAGACTTTAAACATGGCAACTTGACTTAACTGTTCCAAAATGACAAAGCAATTTCCTTTACACAAAGCATGTTAAGAATGTTTAAATAACAAATTAACCCAGTATTCATATTGCAATACCATGCTGTCATTTCAAGAGACATCTGAACTTTAATTGAGGACAGATCCTTCAAAACACTAAGCTCAAATATCATAAAACCCCCTTCCTTTCCCTGAATCAGTAAGTTCCAAAGGCTGCTTGCTTTTCCAGTAAGATATTCTTGACCTTGAAATGCTCCAGTGATTTTGAAAAGAGTCTATAGCATTTAAGGGTTCCGCTCTTGGAATTGCTAGACTGGTTGAATGTTCCTAACCCTACAGTTTTACATGAAGATAATATTTCACAGCTAGCTGCTCACTTCACTTATTTGGTCAACTAAAAACATGCCTGTATTATCTTGTTAATATTCTGTGTTGCTTTTTCCCCCCTCTTAATTATGTACTGATGCCTATTTGAATGCATAGTTAAGTCAGGGGAGGTTGTAAAAGCAGTTATTACAGAAGCCAGCAGGAAAGGTGAGACAATAATAAAAGAACCACACTTACTGAGTTTCAATGTGCTTAAGGAAACAATAGCAGGGGCATCAGCAAGGGAGAAGTTCCATATCTGCCTCTGTCCAAGATGGACTGGGGGCTTTTTCACAAGGGCTGAACCTGGGATCAAAGGCAACCCAAAACCTCCAAATCATGGAAAATGAAAGTGATTTAATGAGATGCAGGAAGCTACCCAGGGTGTGCGCATGCAGAGAGGCTGAGGGACTGGGCAGAATTGCACAAACATACAGGATGTGGGCTATAAGCAGTACATGTTGTTCCCAACTTGGAAATAGGAAATAAACTAGACCTTTCTAACAAACAGGCAAAGCTTGGCAAAGGGAATAAGCCTGTATTTATGATGTGAAATTTGTTTTGTAGAGAGGTGTTTCTGTATCACTGTAAACATGCTACCACACACACAGCGCTGAAATAAAGATCTATAATGGTCAAACCCCAGCTGGTACATAGTATGAAAGAAGGTGATTTGTGGAAATCCTCACCAAGAGAGAGAAAAGCCTGATATCCTGGGTGTAGTGGGAGGAAGGGCTTCAGTGAGAGTCCGAGAAGCAGCAGTGGTGCAGTTACCCACAAGCTATGGCAGCTTGGGGTAGATGGATACCTACAAGCAAAGCTAATAAACCCACTCATAGTGCTCCACTACTTGTAGTTTAGGAGGGAATGTGTGCAAAACAGTGTCACAACTCAGTACAGTACTGCCTGGCCTGATAAACTAATGGGATAGATATTCCTACAATTACAACTTAATTCTTTTTTTAAGATTAGAGGACAAACCATGTTTGACTACAACAACTGTACCTTGTATTCCTATATACATTGTAGATTTGTTTAATGTTTCATGTTTCACTGTATGTATATGTACCACTTGTATTAAGATATTGTATTCATTCACAATTCATCTGGAATAAAATGGCTCCATTTTACTTCAAAATCCTCTCTCTCCAACTAGAACTGTTTTATGAAAACCTATAATGCAGCTATTGCAAAGGTATCCTTTGGGGCATCCTATCAGTAAGTATGAGGGAACAGTTATTTGAAGATAGTCTGAAGTGTGTGTTCTTTACCTTGAACGTATTCATCCACTTAACCCTGAAGGCTTTTCAGTTTCTATTTCCTGAATTTTCTTGGTAGTGTTGAGGTGATATTGCATTTTCTTGTTATATATTTATTCTGCATTATTAAGTCTTCTGATTTTTTTTTTCTCTTAACAGTTTGAAAATGAAATCATTTTAAAATTGGACCATGAGGTGGAAGGAGGCCGTGGAGATGAGCAGTACATGCAGTTGTTTGAATCAATGTAAGTAGTGAAATCATGATGAAACTAGGAAATGACACACTTTTAAAGCTCTCTTTCTGTCCCCTAAAAACAGGCAACTTCATTTAAAAATAAACTTATTATACAGAATTTAATCACCCTCTGTTGAGGTTGCAACAAAGTTCAATTGTTTTAGTATAACCTACAAGCTTTTGCTTTTTAATTGATTTTCAGTATGTTTTGCAACAGTTTAATTTTTAAGAAAACATGAAACACTTCACTAAGCAAGGTAATGTTTCCTAGTTAATCCACATTGGTTTTGATAACTTTTCCCACTAAGGATATTCAGAAATCTAGTAGGATATTTTCAGTGTTCTTTGAATTATCTTTCCTGTACTTATTTCAGATTTTACTTTGGATACTATATATTGAATGGGCACTATTCATGCATGGCAAGAATAGGGCGTCTCAGGCTGTCTTATGGTTCCCAGTATTCAGGCTGGCACTGAAAAAGTAGATTAAGTATTTCTGACCTTAGCTATATAAATGACAATGTCTTGTCAATTTAATAAATAAAGTTAAACAACTCCCCATGCTTGAAAAGTCCTGTTTCTTTTACTGTTGGCCTTTCATCCAGACTTAAAGTGGGACAGGCGTATGTCAGCATTGCTTCTGCAACCCTTGTGAGAGCACTGCTAAGAAAAATACCCTGCCCTTTTACTACCATGCGAAACCTAGAAACTGCTCTGCAGGTGTTTCCTACTACTACTCTCAAGTACACTGGAAACACAGATCTTGAGTGGAGAAGCCGGCATTGCTGTCTGTTTTCTAGGTTTGGTGCAATGGACTGGGAATAAAAATAGAAATGGGTAGGGTATGCTTTTCACTGCCCCTCTTGGGAATGTCACTAAAGCAGTATAAAAATATCTTCATCCAGGTTTGGGATAGGTATGAACTTATCTTTGCAGCTTCTCATATACTGTTTGAAACCTAGGTAGGATTTGTGACAATTACTTAAACACCCTCTTACTGCATTGCCATGCTCTTTGCTGTTTACAAGTCATGTTAAAGGCCCAGCTGTTAAAAGAAGCTCTTTCTCTGCATTTCATATTTAATGTATCCTCCTTCAACTTCATGAACATTTTCAGTACCCTAATGTATACTTTTTGGAATGCTTTCCTTAGAATCATATGCCAGCAGCTGTTCAACCTGTAGAACAGTTCCCTATCCATGTGATCATATGTTGTCTAAGAACTTTGCCTCCTATATTGTCCTTATATAGCATGCTGAGAAGCACATAATTGTAACAAACTACTAGATCTTGCATATTTTTGGATAGGTATCCCTGTTTTCAGGTCTTCCATTAGAACAGTTGCCTCTACTTTTCTTTAATTCAGTTGAATTCTGATATGTATCTTAACTAACTAAGCCCACTGGGCCCAAATTTCAATATTTTTTAATTCTCCAGTGAGAAACAGTAATAACTTAGTAATTCACCGTGTGATTTTTCAAATATTCAAGATCCATGAATAACATCTGTAACAAATAGTTATTAAATATTGACACAGTATTAGACTGTGAGTTATGGGCAAAATCTATTTACACTTTGCACGTGAGATTTAGGACATGGATAGATGTTCATTTCTACCAATAAGAATTTTAGAGAAATTCAGTAGAAAAATAGGCCAGGAGTTGTAGTGAATATGCACTCCAGCCCCTGACTGTAGAGCTACAAAGGAGAGCTCTCCAACCAGGGGGTACTAGAGGGCTACTCCCAGACCCATCTTTAGGGGATCCCATTACTTGATAGCCAGTCTTCTCCTGTACCTGGAAAAGGGGAAGTCTGTCAAGAGGCAGGGCCCCCACTCCCTTCCCCCTCCTGATTTTAAATCTCTTTTAAATCACAGGTGACTGCCCACAGGTGATGAGGAACTGGGACTGGGGAGAGCCTCCCTGGTCATGGATGATCTAGGACAGGGGTTGGCAACCCCTGGCATGCGTATCGAATGTGGCACGCGAGGCCATTTTGCTTGGCACACTGTGGCCAGCCCCAGCTCTGGGTAGCTGCTGCCAGCGACGGAGCCCGGGCTGCTCCCAGCAGGGCTTGCAGCATCCCAGCTGCCTGCCAGGAGCAGCCCAGGATCCTGGCTGGCAGCAGCTACCCAGAGCCATGGCCAGCTGCAGCCAGGAGGCTCCAAACAGCTGTGCCGGGCTCCAGCATCAGCTCTACACCAGCGTGTGCAGGTGTACCTTGGAGCGGACGGTGGTGGAGGGGCCTGAGGCAGTGCAACCCTGGTCTCTCCCCCGCTCCCGGCATGGAGGTGATGAGCTCAGCGCAGCTGTTTTTAGCCAGTCTGGGCTGTGGGCAGCTGCAGCAAGCAGCGGGCAGGCTCCAAACAGCTGCGCCGGGCTCTATAGCTCCAGCATCAACTCCATGCTGGTGGTGACTGCACAGGCACCTCAGGGTGGGCTGTGCTGCCCCGCTGTCTGCCCCGAGGTGCCTATGCAGTCGCTGCCAGTACGGAGCTAATGCCAGAGCTGTGGAGCCCAGCGCAGCTGTTTGTAGCCTGCTCAGCTTGCTGCAGCTGCCCAGAGCCTGGGCTGGCTACAAACAGCTGTGCCAGGCTCATCACCTCTGTGCTGGGAGTGGGGAAGAGACCAGGGCTGTGCTGCCTCAGGCCCCTCCCCCACTGCTAGTTCTGAGGCACGCCTGCATGAGCAGGTGTGGAGCTCATACCGGAGCCTGGAGCCCAGCACAGCTGTTTGGGCACCGGCCCGGGGCTCGGGGGAGCTGCTGCCAGTCGGGAGTCCAGGCTGCTCCCAGCAGGCAGCTGGGATACTGCAAGCCCCGCTGGGAGCAGCTTGGGCTCCACCAGCTACCCAGAGCTGGGGTAGCTGCTGGCAGCCACAGAGCCCAGGCTGTGGGGCAGGGGCTTTGGGTGGGAGGCAAGGGGAAGTAGGGCTGTGGGGCAGGGGCTTTGGGTGGGGGGCAAGGGACACAAGCAGGGCATCCTGCCATATACCCCTTGCCCTCATTTTGTTTTTCTGCCATGCCGGCACTCCGGCACCTTCCGAGGTAGACATTGTGGTGTTTTTCAGCACTCCAGCCAAAAAACATTGCCCACCCCGGTCTAGGAGTTAGCTGTGACACAGTGGCAATAAGCTACTGTGCTGTAACTCATTGCTATGGCACTATAGTGCCATGGCAGAGGGTCGGACTTGATGATCTGCTCAGGTCCCTTTCGACCCTACCAACTACGAAACTATGGTGTCGCCAGGCATGAAATGTGACAGCAACGCTACCACACAGTAGCATCTAAAAATAACCCCTATGGTCTACTGTGGGTACTTCCCATGCTTCTAGGCTTTGCTGTTTGCCACATAGGATTGGGAAATAATTACTTTCCCTTCCTGCTGCTATATACGTTGGGGCAGAGGTGGGGAGGAGAGGCAGATTTCACTTTCTTCAGAAGTACTGGGCATTGGTTACAACCAAAGCTATGATTTTGACAGGGGTGCCAATGCTCTTGGAAAGCTTTAGGTTCCTACCTAAGGAAGGATATGCTCAGGGTCAGCCCGATCACCATATTTGGGGTTACGAAGGAATTGTACCCCATTGACTTCAGGGGTTTTTGCCATGGGTTACTGGTGCCCCCCCAGAGACCAGTCAGCAATCGGGGGAGGGGTGACCCCCCATGGCCAATCGCAGTGACCAGGGGAGGCCCCCCCCCGGATGATTGCACTCACCTGGATCGCACTTCACTTCTGGGAGCACCGCTTCATTCAGCACTCCCACTCCCCGGCTGGTGCTTGCAGGGGGGACACCGGGGGGGGGGCACCGACGCTCCTTCCTCCCTTTCCCCCCCACCTGTTGCCTAAGTGGGAAGTGCGGCCTGACAGGGGGTGCAGCAGCACTCTAAGGGGGTGCACCCGCTACACATTGCCCCTGTTTTTGCCTTCCTCTGTAGCAGGGTGCCCTCTTGGATCTCTCGAGCATATTTTTACAATCAGGCAAAAAATGGCCACCCAATCTTAGTTTACACACATACAGACCTTACACATAGATTGACCTAACAAGGCTAAGGTTGATCTCAGTGCTGATCTGTATAGATGTTTGGGAATGTTAGATCAGGCCAATCCAATCTAACTTTAGTTCACCCAGGAGGTGAATTACATAGATCAGGCTAACCTGTGCCTGATTTAACCCAAAAATGTGTACCAGTGCAGTCCTGGATGTACAGCCTCCCTCCATCCATCTTGCAGACCTGTTAGTCTCCCCTGAGGACTCTCTAGCTACACCCTGATCACACTAACAAGCCCCCACAGTGGACCTGCTAAACCCCCCTGCCCCCAGGACAACTTACTTAGATCACATTCCTCATGCAACTCCCAGCATCAGCAAACATATTTACATGTGGGACTTGATCTATGTTCACATGGCTTAAAGTGATCTGTGTGATTGTAGTCTGGGTCCTGGGAATGTTTGTGCATGCTCACAGTACAACCCTGGGGCTGAGAAAGCCCAGGCACTCACTGCAGTTGCACTTTTCTACCTTCTCATCCTACCTTGACTGGGCTTTCTTTAGTTTTAGCCCTCTAACCCCCACCCCCATGGATCTGCCAGCCCCCCTGATCCCATCAACCCCCACCACCAGACCTGCTAAGTTCTCTGATCCTACCATCCCTCCCCACACCAGGGGCTGGGCAGGCAGACAGGCAGATGGAGCCTCCATGGAGACTGTGTCAGGAACCCCATGGGCAGGGTGTGCTTGGCTGGGCAGAACCAATGGTTATTGCAGGGACATGTGGAGAGCAGATTAAGGCTCTGCCCTGGGCCCTGGCCCCATGCTGCACCACCCCATGATCCTGGCTCTGGCCCCAGCCCTGCACATCCTAGATGCCACTCCCTGCCTGCCTGTGGCCCCATCCCATCTGCCTGGCTGAGTGCACCCTGCCTGTGGGGGTCCTGAGCTAGTTTTCATGGAGATTCTACCCACCCACTCCATCTGGCACCCCCAACAGTGGGTGCAGGCTGGACAGTCTGGGGTGCCCAGGCAATGGGTCCAGGTCCAGCAGTCATGGCAGAGTCTGAGGGTGAGAGTGAGCCACCCCTATGGGGGCTGCCAGGAAGCTGACGTTGCCCCTGTCCCACCACCGCACCATCTGGCCCCATGGACTACATCTTCCTGCATGCCCAAGAGCCGTGTGCAGGGATAGGGTAGGCTGCGCTCTGTGCCAGGGACACTTCTATGCTGGGGCAGCAGGACTGGCCACAGGCACCACAGCCCAAGCTGCACCCTGCATCTGGACTAGGCAGGGCCGAGTAACCTGCCTCAGGCTGGATAGAATCACATTACAGGTCTGATCTGGCCCATGGGTCATATTTGGCCTGCCTCTTTGTAGACCATATATGAAATGAGTAATAATACCCTGGAAAGCAGTGACTCTGGAGTGGATTTAGGGGTTCATAGTGGACAAGCAATTCAAAATGGGCTCCCAGTGTCATGCTGTGACCAAAAAAAGCTAAGGAGCAGGGAGATTACAAATAGGATAAGTGAGATTTGTATTTGTCTATTTGATACTAGTAAGATCTAAAGTAGAATACAGTATATAGTTCTGGTATCAACATTTTCATAAGTGTTAACAAAGACAGGGCAGAAAAAACCCCACAAAAATTAATGTGAAGGCTAGAGACTTAGAATTCAGCCTCTTTACCTTATAAAAAAATGATCAAGTGATTTGATTACAGTACATAAGTACCTTCTTGGGAAGAAAATACTAAATACTAAAGAACACTATAATAAAATATAGAAGGTGCATCTGAAGTAGAAGCATATGCTTCTGAAGAAGCCATATACAAATTATACATTAAGCTTTAGAAAATGTTTGTGCAATTGCAGAAGGATGCAATAAATATGAAATACATTCAAGGAAGGAGCTGCTCATAAGAGATATGATTTCACAAACCAATATATAGGACTGAAGCCAGACAAATGCAAATTGAAAATAAGGCACAATTTATTTTTTTATTTTTTTACTCCTGGAACAAACTACAAAGGGAATTGGTGGATTTTCCATCTCATTGGGATGCTTTTCTGAAAGATGAGCTTTAGCCAAAGCAGAAGTTATGCTTTAGTGCCAAAAAGAAAGAAAAAAGAAGAATGTCTTTAATAGAGGGGAACTGAGTGAGAACTGAGAATATATATTGTTATACATCTCCAAAATATATTTTTCAAATTATATGAATCTCATTGATGTACTTAATTACTATATAGTCAAATGATCAAAATACGTTTCTATTCAGGTACCTCAGTACCATGTTTCTTAATCTCAGGATTGAATAATTCTAATTCTTTGTTTCAATCCTAATTTCTTTCAAAAACTGAAGTGGAGTGTTGGATTGAAAATCTAATAGAACAGTTAATAGAGCTTGAATTGTGATTTTGCTTTTATACTTTCCAGTTTGCTAATTTTGTTTGATTGCCATGGCATTCTCCAGCAACCCTTTCTGTCTCATGTCTGGAATGCTGTAGAGAGAACACCATTTTGCAAGTTTTGAGAATAAAAAAAGAAGGGGAAATGGTAGAAATCATAGAAAAGTACATTCATCCTTTAAACCATAGTTGTATTTTAGAAAAGAAGAGTAAATCTTTAATTCTATGTTTATGTTTGCTTCCCAGCAGACTTTTACATTTCTAGATTAACACATCATTAAAGAAATCTCAAACATATCCTATACTTCTTTTAATGATATAATGCAGTATTTGCTCCAGGTCCAAAGGGAGTTTCAATTCATAGTGCACTTGTTCTCATACAGATATAAAGCAATTTTCTCTTCTGTATTTACAGACTCATGGAATACACTTCACAGTATCCTGATATTTCTAAGTCAGTTGAAAACTTTGTAAGCCTAGTGAAAGGCCTTTTGGAAAAGCTTCTGGATTACCGAGCAGTCATGAATGATGAGAGCAAGGATAACCGCATGAGCTGCACTGTGAACTTGTTGGTATGGGCCTTATAAGAATAAGAGAGAAGTTTCCTCAGGGAAATGAGTGACTGAAGTAGTCAGTTCATGCAGAATTTAAGATTTAAAATATTCAGTAGTTAGAGATGGGTTTACATGGTATTTGATATCCAATTTATTTTTATCCATCTATCACTTTGCTTAAAGCACAATATGTCTACATTGAGGAGAACAGTATAGAGTAGAGATATTCAAGCCACATTTCAAAAGAACTAGCTTGGAAACTATACGCATTAGCATTAAGTTCTATGTAGATATTTTTCAGGTTGGCAGCAGAGTAAATTAATCCTCCAAAAACTGTTCCACACAATAAGACCCATTTTTGGTGGCCTGCACTGGATTCTGGAACATACTGTAGTTTCCCAAACCTCACTGTTAGGCAGAAGTGGTGAGAAAATGGAAACCTTTATGCAAACATTTAACCATTTCCTTTTTCTCATTCTTTTTTCTCCCATGCAAACCTGAAAACATTCTAGTAGGAAGGTTCTTCTGCATATATAAAGAAATAAATTTCTTTTCCTGGTGTTTCATCCTTCAAATATGCATAGACCAATAGTATATACTACATTAGTTGTCAAGCAGTGAAGAGAACACATGCAGCAAATTTAGAACACACATCTGTAATCATCAGCTCAACCCTTTAATTTGGCTGAGCCATGTTTTATCTATTTGACTTTTTGAAAGAAACTCCAGTACTCAACAGTTTTTACCTTTTTACAGACTTCATTTTCTGTCATGGGGAAGGAATTAAATATTTACCAGAACATTTTCCATTCTTTAACTACTTCTACAAAGCAAAATTGCTGAAGAATATAAGATACTGTGCCTGAATTGTCATTGGATGCAATTAGCAACTCACTAATGTTGCTTTTGAATGATCTCTTTTAGAGGAAAGAGAGGAGAAAAGCCTTTATGATGTTCCAGTAGCAGGAAACTAAGAGTTTGATTATAATCATCTTTGTTTATGGGAGTGGTCACACTTAATTCTTTGAATATCATTATGGTCTACAACTTAATTGGTCTAAGTTGTTCTTTTGACATACAGAGGATGGTTAGCATCTGGATTTCCCAAGGCCAAGGAGCTTATGCCATTTCCGTTGGAAGTGAACAGAGTGAGGCTGGCATGGACAACAGTTCCTGGAATCTTGTTTAGTCCTTTGGGATCACTACAGAGTGCGCTTAAGTTAGAAAAGGCCTAAGGGCTGTTTTCACTTATACAGGAGTCCAAAGTGGACTCTTAATCTCAGAATTTCAGATGTCGAAAGGCAGTAGAAAGCTACATTTTCTCTTGTTCCTTGACTCTAATAATAAAGATGCAGATCTATTATCAGATTTTAACTGAGGATGTTTTGTAAATTGTGCTTTTCACAGATTCTGATAGTTATTATTTAAGTGTTACAATTTAATGGTAAAATGGATCAAAATATAACATTATATTCTGTTTTGTGAAAAATCTGGTTTAATACATTAAAAACCCACTTACCCTGAGTAATTTGATCCTGAGATGTTTTTAAGATAAGGGATTAGAAAATAACATTTTAATAATTTTTCCCTCTCTAGAATTTCTACAAAGACATTAATCGTGAAGGAATGTACATAAGGTATGGTAATTGCTCTATTGATTTTTGTGTGAAGAGGGCAATAACATTCATTTCATACACACTATCTTCAGCATACCATATGGGTTAGTTATAGCTCATCATTCATGATATCCCTAGACTCATTTATATTTTTAATCTATTGTTTACTTTGCCTTCAGCAAACTGGAATCCATCATACATATTCATCAGCTGCCCTTTTCCCCCAGAATAAAATGTAGTTGACCAAATCGCTCACATTCATTGTTCGCAATTTTTAATAAAGAAAACACAGTTGGATTTGAAGTTTGAAGCAAAGCATATCGGACACTGAAAGTGACAGAGGAATCCTTTATGGTTTTGTAGAATGTGCTCAGACTACAGAGTATGCAGCACTGCATTAAATTACAAGTCAAACAGAGCCCTATATCCATAGCAGCAAATATTCTGTAATGTAAGCCTGGCTTTTTTGCTGTTTCCTGACTTAGATAAGACCTTCTTTTACTTAGTTAATACCTTTTCCAGACCAGAGTCACCTGGTTGGGGAACAAGCAGGAAGCAGCATCCTCCATTCCTCCTCTTGTCTCCAGGAGCAAAGCAGAAGGATGAGTGGGGCAAATCCCTTAGCCTATTCCCCAAACCAGGCAGTTCACATTGTGGGGAACAGGCAGGGAACATTTCCCCACTGCTCTTCTCTCCTCCCCTCCCAGAGCAGATGGGTTAGGGGAGTGTACAGGCATTAATTCATACAAGACAGATTCACTCACAAAGGAGATCTTTTAAGGTGCTGGCCTGGAAGATCTTCTCCCAGACAAAGCATGCTTTTCCCTAGGAGAAATTGAATGAATGCTTATGCGCTCCTAGTTTCTACTGGGAGAACAGCAGTTTCTCCTGGTGGAAACATAATAATATTTGTACATAGCCTGAACCTTTTGCAGGTTAGCAGTGAAGGAAGCCACCCACAAATATCCTCCTTACTTAAGTATGTTATGCACTCCTCAACCATTGCTGATGATCTGGGCCAGTATTTTTTCCCTAGCTTTAAATAGTCCGAAAAGTTGCATTTACACGGATGAAAGTAAGCATTTGCATAAAAAGAGAAGAGAAAAAAAACCGCAAAGAAAATAGCCTTTCTTATAATGATAGTATATTAAAGCTAATTTTAAGCCATTGAAAGGAGCTGCAATGAAAGGGCACAAGGTACATATTCTGATGATAATTTAGGATGAACAAGGCTGTAGAATGCCTAAAGAGCTAGAAATATGCAGAAAACACTTTTGCTCCTCTTTTTCTTACATAGCTACAGGCACAGTATTAGTAAAGGTGCCTTGGTTACTAACCCTTTTTTCATGCAGATACTTCACTGTGCAAAGGAAGCACAGAAAGGTCAAGGCATATAAGAAAGCTTTAACCACCTGTCCTGCACAATAACTTTAACAAGTTTGTGAGTGGTTACTGCCTGACATCTTTAACTGTTTCTATGAAAACTTTCACTTTGGGTGTTTATCCATCAGTGACACCTGATCTGTCACTGTCAGCTACTAACAGCTTTTGCCAGATGGACATTCATAATTTGAAACTTCTGACATTTTCTTTCCTTTTAACAGATATTTGTATAAACTGCGAGATCTTCATTTAGATTGTGAGAATTACACAGAAGCTGCATATACCCTTCTGCTCCATACCTGGCTCTTGAAGGTTAGATTACCACTCTCAGTAGAATATAAATAATGCTATGTTGCAGTTTTGAAATTTAAAAAAAATGGCAAGTATCTTAGCCCCTGACTTAATATATTTTATTTATTTTAGTGGTGTTCTGCTTTCCTGCTACTTAAAAAACACTATGACATTTAATGGAAATTCAGGATTCAAAAGAAACACAAGATGTTCTCAGCAGGTTATTTCAAATTATATACAAGTCATTAAAAATATGACAAAATACTTTCACAGGTCATCTGGCTTTTGAAGCAGCTTAACTCTCTGTAGTGACTACACTTGTTTTTATCTGTACTATGTTCTCAGTTCCAAAAGTAGGGCTGAATTGGAAGCTTATTACAATATTAACAAATAAGAATATCAGTACAGCTAGTCAGGAACCAGTATTTCCATTCCATGGGAAGTTCTGACATTTCAAAATATTTTGTTCCAAATTGGGATGAAAAATTTAACTTTCTGTGCAACTGAACTTCTAAAAGAAATTATTCAGGGTCATCAAAATTTTTTGCTTTGATGTTGTACAGTTTTATGCTTATGATATTAAAATACTAAATATCCTAGTTATGACTTGTAAAATAGTAATTAAAAAATAAATGTAAAAATAAAACAAAAGGAATAAAACAAAAGAATAACACCACCAAAATAAAATATTCTGATTCTTTCACGCAACATTGTAAAAAATAGTGTTTTACTAAGACTTCATTTTTTAACAGAAAACTATTTAAATAATTTTGATCAGCTCCAGTTACAACCATGAAATAGTTATTCAGCAGCATGTTAATGGCCATTAACCCTCACAGAAGCATTTTCCATTCTGTAAAAGTCAGGGAACATACAGAAGAAGCTATTTAGAGTAACAACACTATTTTTTCCCTCTGTCTTCAACTGTATACCTTTTCTGATGCTTTATTCTCACAGTGGTCTGATGAACAATGCTCACCTCAAGTCATGTCAACAGAATTCCAGTGTTCACAAACCCATCGACAGTTGAAAGAGAATCTGTATGAAAAAATTATAGAATACTTTGACAAGGGAAAGGTAATTGCCTTTAAAATTCCTACTGTACTGCCTTGTTTGAGAGTTCTGGACTCTCATTCTGTTATAACAAAACATGTTTGATTTTCAAGTGTGGAAATCATTCTGGATATATCAAGTTAAAATTGTTAAAGATTTTGAAAAAATGTGGAAAAAAATAAGCTCGGTATTTTTGTTTGTCATCTAGTCAAGTTATTTGCTTAGTTCAGGAAGTAATAACATGTAAATAAATTAAATCATACATATGGGATGAACTTTCCAAGGTAACGTGATATAATGTATAGATCTTATTTTAACATTACACTATCAGGTCTCCCCCAAAAATACAGATATTCTTTTTTCCAGAATGTCTTAAGATTTTATTTTTCACAAGTCAAGACTTGATTACTATCAACTGCCTTCAGTTACACTCCTGCACATTTTAGAACCTAAAAATAGAGCTTATTTTGACTGTAATAAAAGCAGAAGTGAACCTTTTAACACTTGAATGCACAAGTTGTTGGAGCACATAAAGTAGGGAACAATTTTGTAGTGCCAAACAGTGAACATTATGACAATAATAAGCCTTTCTTATCTTTATGTGTGGCTCATACTTAACTATAGGAGAAATACCATACCTGACCTATACTTCCTACCCTTTGAGACAGGAAACTTCCAATGGTTTTGCACAATCCTATGACTGTACATTGCTGTTTAACACTGTCAGTTTGCCTATGGACATTTGAAATGTTTGTGGTTTAGTAATAGCTGCATGCACATCATATTAGACAGAAGATGGTCTTAATTTCTTAGTACCAACTGAGCATGGGCTAGACAGATTATACTAAGCAGCTGATACAGTTTTCTGCTTTAGAGTTGCCTTGCCTAACTGCATTAGAGTTGCTCAGGAGCAGCCATAACTCATATGACTCAAAAGTCTTTCATTATAACAAAATACTCCCCTTCTCTGCCTGTCACCCGTATCACGAGCACGTTCTTTCCTTTCTTACAAGAGACTGGCTGGTACAGAATGCAGTTCATCTGACTTTGACAATAAGTATTCTCTTCAGGATGGGGACTTCTCCACTTGTTGTCTGCAGCTACTTTTTGACCATTTTGTGCTGCTTATTGCAAAGTACCTTTAGGGCTAAGTACACACATTCAAAAAGGCCGAGCCTGAATCAATTCAGTCTTTGTAGGTTAGTCTAACCTGTGTAGATTGAACTGTGTAGAATAGACATTCCCTTTTGATTCTGGAAATGCAGCCACATGCCTGCAGTGGCTCAGGCTAGAAGCTGGGGTGCACTAGAGTGATCCCTCCCTTCCCTTCTGCAGTGGCCAGAAGGCTGGGGGGGATGGGGCCAGGCCCCGACAGTTTGCTAAGTGTGGCTGGGGAGGCGTTTAAAACTGCACCTTGGCCTGCATAATCCTGAGTTGGGGAGTGCCTGGAGGGGGAAAGGGGAAGCAGCGCCTTCCAGGCATTTTCCCCCTGCTTGCTGCTCTAGCGATGGGTGGTGTAGCTAGATACCAACACCAGTGGCAGCCTGAGGTGAAAGGTGGGGAAGGAAAGGGGGGGTTCCCTCCCCTCACCCATCAACACGGGACCACAGCCAAGGTCTGCCTGCCAGAGGTACCCCTGTTGGGCAGACCCCAGCTGGGGTCCCGTGCCAGTGGGAGAGGGGATAGAGGGGGGATTAAACCACCCTACCTGCCTCACCCTGCTGGCCCTGACCAGGGTGTGGCCATGCCCCCTGCTCTCGGCTCAAGCAGGGATCAGTGGGGGGAAGTGGGGGAAGTCTGGGAGGGACTGCTTCCCCCACAGGCAAACCTCAGCTGGGGTCAGGGGCCGGCAGGTTTTAAACCCTCCACTCTTCCCTCCTCACCCTGCCAGCCCAGGCCAGGGCATGGCCATGTCCCCTGCTGTCCAGAGAGAGAGAGAAAACCCTAGCTTGTGCTGCCCTCTCCCCTGCTCAAGCAGGGTGGGGGGGGGGCAGAAGTGTGGCAGCTCCACTCCCACCCTGACCCAGGCTGGGGTCCCATGGACCATGGAGGGGGTTTAAAACCCCCTCCCTTCTGTCTGCCTGAGTCTGCCAGCCCACACCTCCACCACTTCCACTCCAGCAAGGGAAAAGTCTAGCATGGGCTGCTCTGCACCTGCCAGGCAGATTGGGCTACATACCCAGCCTGGTTTCCCACCCCCTTGTCAGCCAGCCCTCACTGCTCTGGCTAGAGAGCAGAGGGGTAGAGCCAACCATGTTCTGCTCAAGCAGACAGCACAGGGCAGGAAAGCAGGCTGGGATGCTGGGGGACTGGGATTTAACTTGAACCAGGAAGGGGTCTGGGACAGAAGTTCCATAAACTGGCTTGACCTAAATCAGTTCAGTCTGATACTACATTCAACCAGATTTATCTTAAACCAGTTTCAGCCATTTTGAAACTGGTTTATGTGCACTGAACTTCTTTTCTGTTAGAGGTTTAAACCAGTTTATGATCATTCAAACCAGTTTATGTGCAACTTCTACCCCTAACCTGGCAGACCAAAAATCTAGCCTAGTATTAATAGTGCAGCTCTAACATTCTTCTGAAAGTTCCTTCAGAAGAAAATACTATTTTATGAGGAATGAAATAAGCTGCTGCTGCTTCACAGACCACAGTGGTAATTTGGGTTTCAAGCTTGTAACTTCTGAGCTGACAGTTCACGTGAGAAAAGATGACTTGTGGGAGTGTAGGTTGCAGAATCAGGAAACAAACTATCAAGGACATGCATTAGTAAGCCTATGAAGATGCTGCACTTCTGCTTGAAGGACACACAAACCTTTATGTATTGGTCTGAATTATTTTTTGTTATTCAGCATTTCTGAAAGATCAAGTGATTTTGGGTGTTGTTCTTATAAGTCTAAAGCAGGCCTATTTCAGTCTTTCTATAATGAACTGTAAAACATTTTATTCTGCACATTAATCTGCTGTGTTCCAGTTTATGATTTCCTTGGGTCTTTCATTCCATATCGGAAGTTAATAAATGACTGAAACTTAGAGATAAAATAATCAATATAGCTCCATAGTTAAACAGTGATGCCTTAAAACCTTATTTGTTGGTGCTGGAATTACTTTAAAAATATACATTTATATTGCAGATGTGGGAAGAAGCAATATCTTTATGCAAAGAACTTGCAGAGCAATATGAGATGGAAGTTTTTGACTATGAACTTTTAAGCCAGAATCTGGTAAGAACATATATGGGTCTTCAAAGCATTTTTGGTATATGCATGACTATGTTTGAAATCTCAAAAGACAGAAGAGTATGAAAGATTTTGCATTGTATATAGGAGTACCTCTAGAGCATTAAAAAATAATGGTAATTGTGTCTTCACCTTTTAGTTGAGTATATGATTATATGTCTTGAGATAGCCTGAAAAGGAAGTGGGGGCGGGGGAAAGGGGGGCGGGAGAGATTTGCTTGGTTTCATACCATTTTTGTTTGCTTTGTTTCATGCCATTTTATCTCTAGAGCAGTGTTCTAGAGATAAAATAGTACAGAGTAGGGGTGTGTGAAGCAGGTCCTATTCAATTCAGATTCAAGATTGAAGATTCAATGATGATTTGGAGAATCAGCAATTCAGACATAGACATAGCTTCAAATGTTTTTTCTACATACCTTGAGGTAGCAGGCATGGCTCATGATCGCTGCAATGCTGGGGAGCATGGAACATCCTACAGGAGTGCTTCTGGTCCACTTCTGGGTCTGCCAGGGAGTGTGCTGGCCCCCCCCACCTCCCTGGCTTGGCAGTCAGCTGCAGGGGGACCCTGTGTGTTCTCCCCCAGACCCAGGAGGCACCAGTCACCGAGTTGGGGCTGTGTGGGGGGCCCCCAACATGCTCCCCAGTGGACCTGGAAGTGGACTGGAAGTGCTTCTGGTCCACTTCCAGGTCTTCTGCCCAGCACACTGGGGAGCCCCCCCTGGGCTCCTCTGGGATGCTCCATGCACCCCAGCATCACAGCATTCACAAGCCCCTGCTACCTAGAGATACGTAAAAAAAATTTTAAGCTGTCTCTGTCTGAATTTTCGAAACTTTCTGAATTTCTCCGAATCAATTTGGAAAGTTCCAATTCAATTCAGCGAGATTAAAGGGTCCTCTGATTCAATTCAGATTTAGAGATTCAACCATTGAATTGGGCCAAATCTCTGCTGAATCAAATCAGGGCCTGAAGCTTCACGCAGCCCTAGTACAAAGCAAAGAAAATTCTTGTAGTTATTACCTTGTATTAATTGACACATGTGGTTTAAAAAGTGATCTGCAAACAGGCTAAAATAGGCTTCATTTGGTCCTTTCTGATCTTGAAACAAGGTATAGAAATAACCCCAAGACCTGAAATTATTTTTCCCTGGTGTATGTTTTTTGACATCAATACTTTTACAAAAACTGGGAAATGAGTGAGGTATAATTTTACAAGGCCAATTAAGTTAAATTCTTTAATTAAAGTATTTTAATTTCAATAAGTAACATATATATTGAATAAAGAAAGTTTTGTTTTTTTATGATTTGACACTTTCTCTCTTTCAATTAAGCTATTAGAATAGCATATAATATTAGAATCACATATTTTATAGGCTATCTCAGTGTCTTGGGTAATGGAGAAAAGTTAAGCAAAAGTCCTGGATTGTCAGGAGCCTGAGAACCACAGAGTCAGGGTGTGTGTGTACACACTGTGCTATCTGCCTGGCTCTGCTTCTGGAAGCCACGGACTAGAGTGTGTGTGTGACAGCAGGCAGGGCCTGAGCAGCTGTTGGGATGTGCTGGGGAGCTCAGTGCCTTTTTCACCTGAGCTGGGGCTGGCCTGGGACCAGGAGCAGGACACAGGCTGGGCTGGGGGCACTGCATGGACTCTATCTGCCCTGAGCTGACTCACAACTCCAGCCCTATCCCAGCACCTGCAGCTGCATTCTGGCCATGCACCCCCAGGCTGGGCCAGGCCAGGCTAACAGCATCACAGTCCCCATGCAGAAAGCCCAGGCTGACCTGGCTGTGCCCTCCCAGCCTGGGGACACACAGCAAGAATGCGGCTGCAGGTGCCAGGACAGGACTAGAGCCATGAGTCAGACAGAGCCTGTGCAGCACCCTTAACCTAGCCAGTGCCTCGGGTGACCACCTGTCCCTAATTGGGTGGGACAGTCCTGGATGGGAACATCAAGTCCTGGTCCTGCCCAGGCTTCATGACTCTGGGACAGCATTTGTCCTGGATTCACAGTGTCATGCAGGGATCTGGGTTTTCTGTTCACTGTGGAAAACCATGGGAAATGGTGGGGTTCCCCTTGCAGTGTTCCAACCTTTAAGGAGCTATTTGGGGCTTCTGGGAGCAGGACACAGGGGGTACTACATGCATGTGTGTATCTACACACATGGCTGGAAATACACCCAGGCAGTGTAAAGAGAAGCTCCCAGCAGGTAAATCTATGGTGGGGAAGGAGAATAGGGGGGAGACTGAGTCACCCATAGTGAGGGAGGGAGTGGGTAAGGGCTGGGGTGCTGCCCAGACAGGCTGTTACATAGGGCCTGCAGCTGGGAGTGGGATGGAGCCACAGGTGGCTTTTCTAGGAGAAGGTGTGGCTCCCTACTGCTGCGTGCACCCCCCCCAGATGGGTAATGGGGGCCACATGCCCCCCCATATTTCTGTGCGGGACGGGGGCAGGTGCAGACTGCCCGCAGCGGGCTCAGGGCTCCCCATGCTGCTGCCCTTGCTCTGGGAGCCCCTTGCTAGCCACGTCACCATGGTAAGGCAGCCCCTCCCTGCCTGGCAGCAGCAGGGATGGCAGTGGTATGGAGTCATGCTCCTGCTGCTGTTGGGCAGGCAGGGGGTATGAGGCTAGCATGGGTCTCCTGGGGGAAAGGCAGCAGGGCAAGGAGCCCCGAGCTTGCACTGGGCAGACTACATCTGCCCCTGCTCTGCTTGGCTCTGCCCTAGCCACACTGCTGATGAAGGGGGTAGGGGGAGAGGCAAGCATGTGTCCTGCCTTTCCACTTTGAAAAGGTGCTCACCCTAACAGTGCCCCATTCCCAGCCATGGCCCCAGCTCCAGTGACAAAGACACCATGCTCCCAACACCTGCTCTGACCCCACCCCATGCCACACACTGCTATGGCACACGTGTGTGTCTGAGGGCGTGCACCTAGTGCCCCCCTCCCCCAGGTTTCCCTAATATAATTATGGTCACCTTTGTATTATTGATATTCCTGACTTCTAGACTCTAATGATTTAAAAAATAATTACATTAATTTGTGTATAATATGCATATAAAATAAAACTAATATAATATGATTAAAGAAGATAATGTAAAGAATGACTATATACTAAACTTTGTGCTGCATTTCTACAAAAAAAAGGATTAAAAACATTTCCCTTCAAGTACTGATGTTGAAAGAAAAGGGATGAGAAATTACCATATATGCTTTCAGATTCAGCAAGCTAAATTTTATGAAAGCATTATGAAAATACTGAGGCCTAAACCAGACTACTTTGCTGTTGGATACTATGGTCAAGGATTCCCTACATTTCTCAGGGTAAGTCTGTTTACACTGTATATTTTCCCTTGTTTTTCTACCTACTTCTTAAATACAGCAGTATAATGGATTAGCGAAAATGTAGTTAGTATCTGGAAAAATCCTACACTGACACAAGTTTTCACAATAATATTGTCCCCCATGCAACAATCCATAAGGCTGAATAGGTGAACAAGGGTCTTACAAGGCTCCTCAAACATGAGGAAGAATCTAATAACTACCTCAAATTATTCTTTATACATAAACCAACTGTATCTATTGTCTAGTAATGGTTATCCTTGCTTAGACCCGGTCTCTGGCAAATAGTGTAATGCACTGTTTGGCCAAATAGTGATGCTGAAAATGTACAGAAAGACCTGTTGTGGTAGTGTCATGGGTTCCAGGCAAATCTGTTGATACTGAGGATAGCAAATTATGGCTTGGGATATTAAGAATAGCCTATGAGCTTTGATGCTTAAATCCTGTAGGTACTTCTGGAAATCTGTTCTTATCCTTAATGGGGTTATTGATTTTTAAGGTAGTAAACAGATTATGTGAAGAGTGAGGGTAGATCAATAAGTGGGTGTGGTTTTAAAAAAAGTAATGGACTCATAGGTGTATTTCTGATGTAGTTAAGATATAGCAGATATGTAACCTTTTCCCAATTTATAATAAAACCTACCAAGAATTTCAAGAGCATGTGTAAATGAGACAGGTTTTAAGATTTATTCTGAACTCCTAAACTCATTCCATTAGTTACCCATGTTCTTTCTGTGAAATATGTACCATGTTTCCTGTCTATGCCTAAATATAATGTTTTGGCTATGCCTAAGTATAATATTTTGTAATACTCTAACATGCTGCTTCACTCCATCACTAGTCTTATAAATTAATTCTGGTTTACAGAGGTAATCGATAGGCCTGTGTGAATAGGGAAATATTTGATTTGGATTCGGATTCGGCCAATTCAGAGGACAGTCATTCGATTCGGTGATCACTGAATTGAATCACCAAATCGAATCACTATACCCATTTGAATCGGCCAAATTAGAATCGGAGGCTCGGCACCAATTTGGAGATTCAGATTGGCCAGGGAGAGGCAGGAACAGCTGGGTGGCTGCAGGTTCTCCTGTCGCTTCTCTGGCTGTGCCTGCCTC